CCAGAGAGGGAGGGAGGGAGGGAGGGAGGGAGGGAGGGAAGGAGAAGTCCATCCTGATACAAGAGGCACACAAAGCACAACAGAACCAGAAAAGAAACACCGTGGGTCATATTACAGTTAAAACACTGACTGTACAGAACAAAGAAAACACGTTGAAAACTGCAAGAGAGAAGAGTCAATTCACATACAAGGGCAGTGGCACCACAGTAACTGCTGAGGTTTCAATTCAAACATGAAAGATCCCAGGTTCCTGTTCTGTATGAGTTCTATTCTGACTTCCTTCCATGATGAACAGTAATATGGAAGTGTAAGCCCAAATAAATGATTTTTGGTCATGGTGCTTCATCACAGCAATAGAAATAATCCTAAAACAACACCTTTCAATAATAATTCTGAGTATCAGTGGTCTCAGTTCACCTATTAAAGGACAAAAACTAGATGTTTGGAAAGAAAACAGAATATCCATTTTGCTGCCTCTGAGAAACATACCTATAATCAAAGATATACACTACTATAGGGTTTATATTCCAAACAAATGAAACCAGTTGCTGTCCTAATATCAGACAAAACAGACTTCAAACCAAACATGTCAGGAGAGGTAAAGGGAGGTAAATAACAATAAATGTTATTCATTCTGATCAAGAGAATAATCCAGGGCTGGAGAGATGGCTCAGTGGTTAAGAGCACCGGCTGCTCTTCCAGAGGTCCTGAGTTCAATTCCCAGCAACCACATAATGGCTCACAACCATCTGTAATGAGATCTGGTGCCCTCTTCTGGCCTGCAGATGTACACGCAGGCAGAACACTGTGTACATAATAAATAAATAAATCTTAAAAAAAAAAAAAGAATAATCCAGCAAGCAGAAACTACAATTACAAATATATACACACAAGAAATAAGCAGATCCAATTTTGTAAAGCAAGCATTGCTAGATTTCACCCCAACACAGTAACAGTGTTGACTTCAATACTCACCATTCACCATTAGACAGATCATCCATACAAAAAGTGAGTCAAGAAAAAGGAAGTAAAAGATATGTCAGATGAAATGGACCTAGGAAACCTTTATAGCACTTTCCCCAAACACTAACAAATAGACATTTTCTCAGCAGCTCACGGAACTTCTAAAATAAGTCATATACTATGATGTAAAACAAATCTCAACAGATTCAGGAAAAGTGAAGCAATGTCTCACTTTCTACCTAATCATGATGACGTAAAGCTATAAATCAACAGCCCGGGAAACTACAAGAAATACACAGATCCATGTAGATTAAGAAACGAATGGGTCTTTGAAGAAACCAAAAAGAAAAAAAAATTAAATCCTAGAATTAAATGAAAATGAAAACACAGTTACCTGAACCTGTGGGTTATAATGAAAGCAGTCTTAAGAAGGACGTGCCTACATTTCAGAAAGCAGAGATCTTAACTAGACAAACAGGAGACAAACATTAAGGAACTGGAAAAAGAATAAAGCAATTCCCAGAGCATCAGACTGATGGAAATAAATAAGACCAGAACAGAAAATAATGAAGTAGAAATAAACCAAAAACAATAAAAAGAATCAATGAAACAAAGACCTGGGTCTGTGAAAAGATAAACAAAATTAATATACCTTTAACCAAGTTAACCAAAGAAACAAAGAAGATTCAACCTAATATAATTAGGGGTGAAAAGGGAGAGATTGCAATAGACACAGAGGAAATTCAGAGGATCAAGAGATCCTTAAAAAAATATTCCACTAAATCAGAAAAATCTGAACGAATTGGATGGATTTCTAGATGTATTTGACCTACCACAGTTAAACCAAGATAAAACAAATAAACAGATACAAAACTATCAATGAGATAGAAGCAGTAATTAAAAATCTACCATCCAGGCCTGAGCCGGCAGGGAACACATATGGCTCCCCCACTGCCCAGACTTCTTGGTTTGGGGAGGGGGGCTGCACATTCAACCAGAACTGGCTTGATCCGGTTATTTCCAGGCCTGAGTCAGTGGAAGACACAGATGCCTACCCGCCCCCATCCCCAGACTTCTTGGCCACCATTGTACCAAGCACTGCCTGAGGTCTCTAGACCTGGGCAAGTGAGAGGAGAAAAAACTGCTTTTCTTCAGTTCCATGCCATTCCTGTGTCTACGGCGAGCAGGACTCCACCAAGCACCAACCTGTGACCCAACCAAGAGCCCTGGTACCAGGTGATTGGGCACCATTATGGTGAGTGAATAGAGGATGGGAAATGGGAGAGAGAGAAGCAGAAGGGTCCACGGGCTGGGGAGAGAGGCGGATCTGAAGAGATGAGAGTGGTGAGGGACAGGCTGATGTGAATGGCCTGCTTGCCACCCGAGTCCAAGGTAGTGTCCAGGCCTGGACTACTGTCCAGGTCTTTAGACTATTGTTAGGTCTTTGTCTGAAGCCCTGAAACAGCCAAGGGGGACTGTGTTGATGTCTGTGGTTCCTATCATCACTGAGGGCAGTGTGAAGGCCTGTAGTCTGGGCTACTGCCTAGGGCCATGTTGGTGTCCAAGGGCCATATTGTCATAACATAAGAAAGGAAGAAACACTTTTAACTCCTTCTTATGAAGTCAGACACCCAAACCAGATAAAGACCCAACAAAAAAGGAGAATGATAGGCCAGTCTCACCATGATCTAGGAGGCTCCATTCTGGGGATGCAGAGATGGTTCAACATATGTAAATCAATAAGGGCAATTTATTACATAAATATATCCAAGGACAGAAACTATGCGATCATTTTATTAGGAGCATTCTATTAGGAGCCTTTCACAAAATCCAGCATCCCTTTATGACAAACCCTGGAGAGACAAGAGATAGAGAAAATACATGTCAAACAAATGAAGGCTAAGTATGGCAAACCAAAGCCAAGATCATAGGGAGTGGAGAAAAAGCTGAAGCACTCCCACAGAACAAGACAAGGCTGTGGGTGTCTGCTTTTGCCTCTCCTGTTCAACAGTGCTTGACATCTTAGCTAGAGCAACAGGACAAGAGAAGGAAATAAGAGGGACACACATAGCAAAGGAAGCTGTCAAAGCATTTCTGTTTGCAGGTGGCATGGTTCTACACATGACAGACACCAAAGACTCCACCAGGAGACTCCCAGAGCTAATGAATACTTTTAGCAATGTGGCAGGTTACAAAATTACCATCAGTAGTTTTCCTACACACTGAAGACAGACTGAGAAGGAAATCAAGGGAACTATACCATTCATACAAACATTGAGAAATCAAGTTGGCACTACCAGGAAGCTTCCTCCCCAGACTAGCTTTCATAGTACCAGAAGGTTGATTGGAAAGAAAAGTCAACTGTCTTACCCATCTATGAATGCTACACTAATGATCGTACAGAAAGATGTGCCCATAGAAACAAGAGTGACATAAATTATGGGGGTAACCAACCACTTCCTGATTGAACATCAGGTCTACTTCACAAGAGAAAACACATGTGTGGTACTATAAATCTGCTCAAGAACCAATGGTTGGAGAACTCATAGGCCCCAACAGGAAAAATCCCTATTATTATTTTGTCAAATGGACGTAGTATCAAACTATCGTCTAAATTGGTACAGATTGGAAAAATTTCTGTGTTCAGAAGTCAGTGGCTAATGTAGAAATTCACAACTGGCCAAAGTACGGGGAATAAGTCAGTGGAGAGCTAAGCACAAATGGGAAGCCTTTATCAACTTCTCCCCACAAGGCTCAGAGACCAGAGGTCAGGGAGGATCTTCTAGGCATGCCAGGAGTGCGGCCTTCCTGAACTCACAGTGGCCAGCTCAAGACCAAGCAAGTCAACACCCCAGCGTGCAACGGGGAGAAATTCTCAAGCCCCCACATAAGAGGCGCTGTGGACAGTTTATGGCTTCTAAGGGTGAATCAGTTTTCTTTAAGGCTGTGGTCCCTGGTGGGTAGACCAATCCTCCAATAGATGGCCCCAATCCCACGAGTATATGGGTAGCAAAA